AGACCTGCCGTACTGGTAGATCCTGGTCCTTCTCCGCCACCATTTCCCGGATTTGCAACGGACCCCGTTGTTGAAAGATCTGAATGACCGGTCTCCAGTGATGCTCCCCCTGTTGCAGAGTTCGATTGACTGAGGCCGCTTCTATTAGATCCAGGATCAGTTGATGTCGGTGTTGTGGTCGCTTTGGAAGAAGCGGCAGATTTATCTGAAACGCACACGGACGGGCAGCAGCAGCACAGGGCAACCACCAACAGGGCGCACAGCAGACGGCACGTCATCATCGTGAGTGTGGTCGTTCAGTGGTGTGGAGCTGATCTGCACAGTGAGGGAAATGGAGAGCAAAAGGGGAGACGAGAGGTGCGGCAGACACACACAGAGGTCACACCACATGAGGAGAGGGCAGCAGCCAGGCATGCACCGTACGCCGCACACCACGCACCACACACACTCCAATCCACGGCAGCAGGCACACACACACAGCCCTGCCGCAACAACAACACACAGATAGAAGAGGGAGAAGCAAACAGGAGCGGCACACACGAAGGTGCAGCGCACACAGCAACACAAAAGCATAGTAACAATACAAGAAGAAGATCCCCGAACACCACGTGGACTGTTAGTCCACGGGAAGTGCAGCCACCACCGCAGCAGCCGCACACGTAAAAACAAGCGCGAGAAATGTAATAATGCAAGCAACCATTTACTTGTGTTGCTGTTTGGATGTTGGCAGATGTGTGCACATGTTTTGTTCGTTTGGGTTTTTTGCGGAGGACAAACCTTCATGCCTGGATCGTGTGTTTCAAGAATTTCCGCAAGGTGCACAATTATTTGTTTTCTCTGGTGAATGTTTCTTGTGTTGGTGCAGCCAATAATTCGGTGTGTGTTGTTCCTGCTTCTCGCTGGTAAAGTGCTGCAATAGATGTTTGTGTTTCCTTTCGTCGCTGTGGCACCTGATTCCTCACCGTTTATTGCGGTGGAAATAAAAATATGTGAGTGGACTCCCACGCACCAGAACGCACCTTCGCTCCTATTTATTGGTGCATGGAAGGGCATGCGTGTTTGGTGGTGCCTCGTCCATATATTTTGGGTGCACATTCCCCTGCAGGCTGAGGGCGGGATGACGCTCCGTCGCGGTGCACTTCCATCGCATGCCGCCCACCGTGATTCATCATGCATCACCCCCTCACATATTCCGTGGTGCCACACCGCTGATATTATTGCAGCCGCTGTGACTCCGCTTATTCCACGCATTTGATTGTGCCACAATACATCCGCTCGTGTGGCCGCCGCATCCAAACAGCGGTGCCCAACACCGTGAGCGGCAGTCCACATCCTTGCATGTCCCAGCGCAGTGGTGTTTGACTGTCAGCCAGGCGTCAGACAACAAGAGAGTATTGTGCTGGCAGTACAACACACGGAGCTGCAGTGAATGACTCGGGTGGCGACGCATCTATTTGTCGCAAGGCAGTGAAAAGGAGTCGGGCAAAATAATGCCGGCAGCACTCACAACACCATATCCACAGCCAAAGCATGCGACGTGATGTGTGTTTCACTGGTGCTGTGAAATGCCTGCAGACGACGTCACTAGTGGAGGCACACCACCCATGATCAGCGGACAGACAATAATCGGCATGGGAGGCCACAAGAGGCAGCAACGACGCCAGCAGCAGGAGCAGCTCGCTCTCTCTGTTGCCTCCGAGAAGCAATTATTCCACCAGCCACAGCTCACTGTGCCATCGTGACACTCCATGCACGTCGTGGCTGCGTCAACACATCCTGCTCCCTGCAGCACATCAAAGATGCCTCACTCCGTCCACTAAGTGCATCGGTGTGGGCCGTGGCTCGGCTGCTCGTGAGGACCACAACGATGTGAGGGTCACCGAGTCGCAGCATGTTTGTTGTGACGCTGTTGCATGGCACCCGCACACGCACGCAGCGCCTGCATCCCTCCCTGTTGTGTCCGCCCTCTGCCGGAGTGGCCACACACACGGGCAGCAGCAAAATCACTTCACGCTCGGCAATCAAAAATCAACACTGACATCCCTCGCGACGCAAAGATCTCAGTTGCCAGCACGGGCCTCCTGCCGCTCCGCCATCGACGCTGAAACACGGCACAGTGCACGCAATTATTTTCCTCGTGTGCAGTCAGCCGTTTGCTTCACACATTCTTCGACGGGCCGACGTCCACAAAAGCACGCCACAAAAGCCACCGTGATCGCACAAGCTCTTGCGATGGGCGTCGGTGTGTGCATGCATCCGCTGCTCACACGTGCTGGCAGGCAGCCTGCAGCCGGTGCCCTCGTGCCAGTTCATCGGCTCCAGCACGGGAAAGAGAAAACGGCCTATTCCTCATGCACTTATTCCCACCGGCAGCACCAACACGCTGGTCGCCAGCCGTCATTCCTCAGCACATCCAGGAATGCCGAAAAGTGACGTGGAGCTGTCAGCCAGCAATGCCACAATCCCCGCACACACGTCGGCTCCACCAGAAAAGACACACAAATCACAAACAACACCCTCCACATTTCATCCAAGCATCATTCCAACACACCGCGACACGCCAAACAGAAGTATTCGTCACTCCACGCACCTCCCCACACAATCACATAGTCCACGCACCACGCACGGCAGCAGCTCACACGCAGTCAAACAAATGTTCCTCGGATCAGTGGCCTCCACCTGCTGCAGTGGGAAGTAAACAAAAGGGACGAGCGGCCAAACCCCAAAAGAGTGCCACGACTGGCCGCAAGTCAACGGAACGCAGCCACACAAATGAATTCAGTCCTCATGCCCTCAGCCTACCACCTTCCCCACAAAAGCTGCAAAGATTGAAAACAAACGCACCGTCCAATAAACTCTTTGTGCAAAGCCAAAAGAAGCCGCAGTACCTCCTGCTGCCCTCACAGTCCGTTGATGACGCCTGGATGCGGATGGTCACCCATCGGTACTTCCAAACGACGCCGCACACCCGCGACGCATCCTGCGCTCTGAGACATGCGGCCCTCACTATCACCAGAGACGCCCACGCACCGTCAGTACTCAACAAATCGTCAAGGAACGAAGGATAAGTCAGACTGACAGCAAGACACCCGCCGACAAATCACAGCACAAACATCATCACAAGCAGAACCAAAAGCAATGCAGGCCGCAGAGTAACGTGAATCAAATGACGCATGGCGTATGTAAAAGAAAAAAAAACTCAGTGGCGCTACAAGAATACAAGAGGCTGACACTCTCTCAACAATAAAGGAACAGTATAATAATACACAAAAAGCAAACAATTTAGGCGTCCACCGTCAAAGCAAGCCACAAATCAAACAAAAAGGGCAATGAAATGGGTGCACTCAACCACACCACACGTAAAACAAAAACCGAAAGCCGCAGCGTGGACGACCAGCGCACACACTCTCATTGCTCCCGTAAAGCAAAACACACACACACACAGAGGGAGAGAGAGAGAGGTCGCCCACTCAATGCAATAAAAACAAAACAGAAACAGTTACGGTGCTCCGCCCATGCAGCCAGGCAGGACGGCAGCGGTGCGTGTCGTGCAAAAGAGAGCACCAACGGGCCTGCATGGGTGTGCATGCATATATACAATGGGCACATTATTGTGTGTGCTTCGTGGGGTGAGGTAAGGGCGAGAGTCCATGCAAGGGGAAATACACACAGAGAGAGAGAAGGAAGAGTGTGTGTGCGGGCGGTGCACGGCTCTCTCACTCACTCTCACGCGGCCACCACCGCAGCAGCAGCAACAAGAAGAAGAAGCAAAAGAGGGGAGGTGGTGTGGGAGACCGCGGTGCTGCTGTCACTGTCGCCATGAGAAGCTGTGTCATTTGTTTTGGCTGTGGCGATTGCTTTTGTTGTTGGGATTCCTGCATTCTGAGAGGCAGCCTTCTCCGCGCTGTCTGATGCTTCTTCAGAAGCGGAATTCGTACTGTGCTCTGCGGTTCTTTCACTGGAGGGTTTTCTCAAGCCATTTTTGGCCGGATTGCCTTCTGTGTCATCGTCAGACCGCAGGGCCGTAGCTGCTGTGGGGCTGCCTTTACTGTCGCCATCTATTGCCGTCTCACTCGTGCTGGCGGCTGCCGTGACTGGCGGTTGTATTTTTCCCTCACTGATTGTCGGAACAACATCTTTTTCGAGACCTTTCTTGTCGTCCTTCTTTTCTCCGGCAGCTGACCCCTCAGTATTCTTCGCGCCATCTCCATTCGTACGACTGTTCTCAACACGATGTCCACCTGTAGAAGAGGATTGCGGAGTTGTTTCCGGTGTATCGTTGGCTGATTCACCCTGCGACAAATTCAATAAAACTCGTTGTTTATTTTGATATTCTGGCAAACTGTTAATTGGGCGTACCCCCGTTTCAACTCGTTGGGTCCCATCCAGTGAATTTGACCGCAATTCCTGCTGCTCAGGCAACCGCACGTCTGCCACTTTAATTGGATTGCTTACAGGCCCTTCTTTATCTTCTCTTTCATGTTCAGTGGCAACAACGTCTTTTTCCGTTACTCTCGGGGATTCTCCCGCATGCGTGGGTGTTGATACCTTCTGAATTCCCGTTGTTTCTGTTTCTGAACTTGGGCTTCCTGATGCGGGTGGTTTATGTTCCGTGGATTCCGGCGGAACTCCCCTTCCACTCGCGGGATCACCGGGTTCACTCTGCAACAAACTCGGTGGATCTTCTTGTCGTTGTTGAACTCTTCCTTCTGGCGGAGTGTCGTCGGAGGGTATCGTTTTTTCACCTCCTTTTGCTCCATTCGGTGACGGCCGCCGTAAGGTCTCATCGTCGGTTGAGTGCAATTCCGCCTCTGCTGGCGCATCGCCTTCAGACACCCCTTCACCTCTTCCTTTTTGAACGGTTTTCACTTTTTCACCATCAACTCCAACTCCACCGCCATCCGCTTCATCTCGCTCAGCAACGACTTCATCCTTTTCTTCCAAAACATCGTCTGAGCGTCGGGTCGGTGATTCTTCTTTAACTTCTGGCGCCTGTGGTTCCACGCCCGGTATGACTGGGGATGACAATTCCGTTTCTTCCAATTTTTTGTTGTCCCCACCAGAAACAAAAACATCGCCACCGCCAGCATCATCGGCCGCAATTCCAGACACCGCACCACAGCACGCAGAGGGCACACACCAGCAGCAGACGGCCAGTCATCATCGCCATCACTCCTGTCACTTGCGTGTAGCCTTCAGCAAAAGTAACACCACGTCAACGAAGAGTGAAAGCAAAAAGATAGACACAGCCGCTACACCACGCAGAGTAACAAATGGCAGCACCCCAGCAGCAGCGCACACACCACGAGACAGATGGAATCAGTACGATTGCAGAGCTCGCACACCGCACCGCAAACCAGAAGTTTAAAAAGCAATAAAAAACAATAATTAAAAAAAGAAATTAAAAAAGAAAAACAAACCCAGGGCTCCAGTGCGCATGCTTATGAGTGTGTCCGCGATGCGTTCAACGTGACGGATGCGGGGCACAACGCGGAGCACACAGCACGGCAGCGGAAGCAAGTGAAGCAAAACAAGATCATTATTTCCTCTTATTTAGTACAGTGAACCACAACACACACGCACAAATCCCCGCGGTTGAGTGCTGGCACGCACAGCCCGCACACACCTCTTCAGCCCACAGTGGTGTACGCCAGCGCGAATGCGGCGAGCACCAGCGGGGCACACACCCGCGCAGAGCTGCTGAGGCTGCCGTCCATTTCGCGCAGACGTGACGGTGCGCGGGTGGTCGACACAGCTGGCGCCTCTGTAGTCGTAGTAATCGGTGCCTGTGTTGTAGTGGTGGTCGTCGTGGTTGGTGGTTTTGTTGTGGTCGTCGTCGTGGTCGTCTCGGCATGATCTTTCGCTTTCTCATTTGTTTGATCCGCGGTTAGTCTCGGGTCACCTGTTGTCCCTGGAGCATTGTTTCCTTTGTCCGGAGCAGAGCCCGTACCTGACGACCCTGACTGACCGGTCGCCGTGGATGGTGAAATGGACGGTGGGCCTGCGACGCTTACATCAGTATTATTTAATCCTTCTGCCGCTTCAGCGTCTGCCACCCACACGGACGAGCAGCAGCACAGGGCAAGCACCAACAGGGCGCACAGCAGACGGCACTTCATCATCATAATCGTGAGTGTGGTCATTCAGTGGTGTGGAGCTGATCTGCACAGTGAGGGACATGGAGAGCAACAGGGGAGACGAGAGGTGCGGCAGACACACACAGAGGGCACACCACATGAGGAGAGGGCAGCAGCCAGGCATGCACCGTACGCCGCACACCACGCACGACACACACTCCAATCCACGGCAGCAGGCACACACACACACAGCCCTGCCGCAACACCGACACACAGATAGAAGAGGGAGAAGCAAACAGGAGCGGCAAACAAGGCTCCACCGCATGCACATGCGGCGAGAGCGGTCCGTCGTGTCGGCACCCCTCACGGAGGGTACACACACACAAGAAGGTGCAGCGCACACAGCAACACAAAAGCAAAGTAACAATACAAAAAGAAGATCCCCGCACACCACGCGGATTGTTGGTCCACGGGAAGTGCACCAATATTCATCACAAAGCAACTTATTATCTTGTTTTGGTTGTATGCTGCTACAATAACGAGTGAGTAGCGCAAGGGCCGTCCGTACAAAAGTGGCAAGTATTCCGTCGTGCGGGCTGGGGCAGTCACACACAGTCGCAGTCCCAGTTCCCAATGACGAGGG